CCAAATTAAGATGTTGTAGTATCTCTATAGGTCTTACTATTGGTGAAATTAAACTTCTTTATTTTCATTTCTCCTTTGTTTCTTCCTTGCTATGTATATATGTATGTATGCAAATGCACAATTGTCCTCTTAACTACTTTTGAGTGGCAAAGCTCATGCCTAGGACTCCATTCTGTAGTTTTAATTTATTGGATTGCTGGCTGTGCTGTAATTAGACAACACATGGGATAAACTCATAAGCCATAAACTCCCTCAGTGAGGGTGCTGCACCTGTTTTGATTAAACCTAGCCTTTTAAAATAGATGAGTTATTGACCATAATGTCTTAAGCACCATTTCCACTGCAATTACTGCTAAATAAAGAAGCTTAGAGAAGCATGTAAAATAAAAGCTAGCTCTTTATGGGAAAAGGGTGCAGCTAACTGAACCTGCTTTTTAGTGTTGATTCAAAGGGGAGTCCTTTCATCTGAGCCAGATGAAGGACAGTTTTAAAAGACAGAGCTAAAATGACCTTGTTATACACCTTTTATAAAAAGATGGCGTGAACTCTTTGGGCATACTGGACTGTGTTTGTAGGAGTGTTGTCACCTGATCAAGGGAAGTAATTCTTCTCTTTTATTCAGCATTGGCGAGGCCACATCTGGAGGACTGTATCCAGTTAAGGGCCCCCTTATTACAGAAAGGATGTAGACAAATTGGAGAGAGTCCAGTGGAGGGCAACAAAAATGGTTAGGATCTGGGATACATGACTTATGGGGAGAAACTGAGGGAACTGGGTTTATTTAATTTGGAAATAAGAAGATTGAGAAGGGATTTAATAATAGCCTTCAACTACCTGAAGGAGGGTTCCAAAGAGGATGGACCTAGTCTGTTTTCAGTGGTAGCAGATGACAGAACAAGGAGCAATGGTCTCAGGTTGCAGCAAGGGAAGTTTAGGTTAGATATTAGGGAAGACTTTCTCCCAAGAACTAGTTACCCAGAGAGGTTGTGAAATCTCTGTCTTTGGAGGTTTTTAAGAACCGGCTAGAAAAATCTTTGGGTAGGATGATCTAGTTGGAGATAGTCCTGTTTTGAGAAGAGGGGTGGATTAGATGACCTTCTGAGGTCCCTTCCTAATTTTCTATTATTCTAACTCAACAGCTGGAGAGGCAACACAGGAGGTGTGGTTGGTGATCCAATGGGTGATACCCCATACATGATTTGCTTTGCTGACCCACATACTTCATGGACAAGTTTGCCAGCCTGAGCTGCCCCACTGATTGTACACACATTGCCATCCTTTTTCCTGTAGCCATGAATTCATTAAGCAGTAAGGCTATTTCTTGATCGTGCTCCAGGCTGTTGTGAACCACTGCAGTGGTTTCACACATTTAAATACCAGCTGGCCAGGCAGGGTGCAAGAAGCTAGGATATTTCAGAGCTTCCTGCTCCTTGAGCTGATAGATTTTGGGGGGTGGAGGAAGGGATATCGCGAGAGCTTGGGCTGTGGGGATAAATGTTCAGCTGAATGCTGAACTTTGCTTCCAGAAAACTGGTGGCAGGAGACAAGGGAGGGAGCTGATGGAGCAGAAAGAGTTTTTCCCTGACATGCCTGACACCATCTTTGACACTGTACCCCACTACTAACTGGGGACCCTGGCCACCCATTGCACCCTTAGCGAATGAAGCATTTCACTGGATGCCTGGATCTCCAGAAGATACTGTTTAACTACCAGCTCAGCAGCTGCAAGGTGGCTGTGGAGTCCTTGTGGTTTGGGTGTTTCAAGGCTTGCTGAGGAGCCTGAGGACACCCATAGATGCCAGCAAATGCAACATGCCTCTGATTGTGGTCTCTGCATGAGTTGTGCACAACATTTGAGGCCAAGGGGGAGTTTGTGCTTGAGACCCCGTCCCTGCCAGTCAAAGCAGAGTGCACCTTGTCTCCTACAGGCTCTGTGAATTCTTCAACTGCGGCCAGTTTCCTGGCACTGCATATGTGAGATGCACGGGTTGACCACTTTTCCAGGGATGAGGGTGGTGAATCACAGAATGATGTAATGTATTTGATTTAACACTGTCAACTGAACTGAATTGTTCAGCCCCATGCAATAACCATCAAAGCCCAGAAGCATAAGAAATACTCATAGAAGAACATAGGAATAGCTATGCCTAGATCATCCCCAACCAATGGCTGTCCAACCTGTTCTTGAATCTCTGCAGTCATGGAGTCCACAGCTTCCCTAGGCAGACTATTCCACTGCCTCATTGTTCTAACAGCGAAGAAGGTTGTTTTTTTCCTGATATCCAATCAAAGTCTACTGTGCTGCAATTTCAAGCAACTGATCCATGTCTTCTTCTCACTTTCAGCCTTTCAGGCAAGGTTCTTTGGGTAGATGTGATATCTCTTATTAGACCAACTGAGTAGTTGGAAAAAAGTTTTTTGCAAACTTTAAGTCGCAATCGTCCTCCTTCAGGCTTAGGAAATCTGCTGTTCTCCTATGCCTGAAGAAGGGTGATTGTGTCGAAAAGCTTGCAAATCACTTTTTTTCCTACTACTCAGTTGGTCTAATAAAAGATATCACATCTCCCCAAAAAACCTTGCAGGACAAACATTCAGATATCTGTTGCAACAGTGTGGGGAAAAGTGTTAGTATCTCTTACTGCACAAACCTTCTGGGGGTTTTGTCCTATGATAACTGCAAAGGATGTTTAAATACTTGAATTTATCCCATAAAAAAAACATTTTCTGCCACAAGAGCAATGCCTGTTTGTAACCTGTGTGTCACAAGCATCAGTAGTAAGTGCCTGATCACAAACTATCTCATACTGTGGACACATATTCTCTAGAAGCAGGTGAGTTGAAATGGCAATCAGCTTTCCAGAAAGATATATGTGCCTGGTCCCAATCTCTAAACTGTAGGTGATTGGCAAGAAGAATCCTATAGAAATTAAACCCTGAAAGCCCAGAAAAGTGCTGTAGAAATATTTATTTACTAGTCTCCTTTGTGTTCTCCTTCCCCATAAGTAAGCACCAGTTCACTACTGATCTATTGTGTTAACCCCTTCTCTAGCCATTCTTTATTTTGAAGATCCTTGTCTGAGTTGTATTTGTATAAGCCTAATGTTTACAGGAAGGATTTTCCCTTAACATTTATAGATGATGTCAACAGATCGAGAGGTCACAGTGAGAAGCAAGTTCCTGGGTTGACTTATGCTAACATTAACTAACAAATCCACTACGCTCCACTACATGTAAAGCAAGTTGATTTAAGTTTTGCCTTCCTCCAGATCAAATGGAATCACACTGTACTTATAAGTCGAGACATGAATGAGGGAGAATATAGATGCCAGGCACACAACCAGAAACCATAGTTCAGGACTTTGATCAGCTGTCATTGATCCAGGGGAAAGTAGTTGAAGTTAGAGAGCTCCAGAATGACAGAACAAATAGTGACTACATCCACAGCTGGCTTAGCATCAGCACCCCCTGAAGCCAATGGCTAATCAGCTGGAAAGACAGGCTTTCACACTTTACTCTAGCCAGAGGGATATTGGTAGGGGATGTCTGCCTGTGCTGAGTTGAAAAGGGAAGGAGAAAGGAAAAATAAACATCTGTAGCCCTCTACTAACTTTATGGGGCTAAATATTGATTGTAAGGTTTCTATTTAGAGAAAATCAGAAGGCAAAGATAAAGCTACAGTTATCAAAATCTGTAGCTCCTGATGCTATGTTTTCAAAAAGGACATAGTAGGTACATTGTACTTATTTTACTTAGGCATAATTGTTTTATTAAATATCTCGAGTTACAAGTTGGGGGACAATTTCTTTAAAGCCTCATGCAGGATAACCTTTCTTACAGGCAGGACAAGAACACGGAGAATGCTCCCCTGATTTTGCCCCATTAACTCATGGACTCCAGATTCTGTTCCATCCATTATGCACATAAAGTGTGATTCTCCTCCACTCCACTCGAGTCCCTGAAAAATGTTAAAGCAAAGAGGGTGGGTCTTCCCTCTCTTCCTTGCTGCTTTTGTGTGATGTAGTCTGTAAAAGTTAGATGATATTGTGGCACAAAAGAAGCTGCAGTAGTGGATTTTCAGGGACTGGAAAAGAGTGGAGTAGGATCCTATGCTGGTGCATAAGTCCATTTAGACAAGTAGAATAGGATCTGGTCAGGGGAGGATCTGAAGGGGTGTGGCTGTGCAGATGCTTCCCCTTTCTGCTGTTGCTGCCGCTGTCCTCAGCCGGTGCAGATGCATCACCTTTCTGCTGTTGCTGCCGCTGTCCTCAGCTGATCCAGGAGGTTCCTCCTTCCAGCTCCTGCTCCCTGCTTGTCCCTCCCATGCAAGTGTCCTCCACTGGCCAGGAACAGGGGCTGGAAGGGGGAGCCTGCATGCCTCTGGCCCCAGCTCTTTCCCCACACACAGGCTCCTTACAGGCCCAGCTGGAGCAGGGCAAGAGTGGCTCCCTTTTTATGCACCCAATTCTCTGGTGTCCCCTGATGACTTCAGGGTTTCAGCCACACCTCACCTCCCCCAGGCCCCCATGGCCTGATGGGTTGTGTGCTATACCCCATAGGAGCCCTGAATTAAATTAAGGCTCCGTTGTGTAAGACCAGTGTTACAAATCTTTGTAGACTCCAGACAACTCAGAAAATGCCAGCTCTTTTTGCTTTTTTTTTTCTTCTTAACTATAGAAAAATAACAGCAATTCTTCCATTACAAAGAACTCAGAAATTCACAACAGGGCAGAATGGTTTTAACACTGCAGAGTCTTATTTAAAATCTCTGGTTTTATCATGTGAACCATGCATGCAAGCCTAATGGTGGCACCCTTAAAAGCATCTCAAGGCACTCCAAGGTGCTGTGGCACTGTGGTTGTGAATCACTGTACAGACCATGCTGACACACAATAAGAGGCAATCACTACTACAAAGAATGTACAGTCTAAATAGTCAAGAGAGACAACATTGAGAAAAAAGGATTATCTTTATAGTCACAATTTCTCTTTTGTAGGCCTTTATAGATTTTAGAAGTATGACTTCCTACATAACTAACACAATTTCATCATTTCACTCTTTTAGTCAGCCCAGTCTTCTTTTTGACTACAGTGTATCTTCCAGGAAGGCATTCACTTTAGATGTGGAAAGAAGAGCTGGAGAATCCACCACTTTGTGCTCAATTGCTCACAGTAAAAGGACCCTTAAAAGAAAAATGTAAAGAAACTGAAGAATAAAAAATCAGCTCAGTTGAGGGTTAAAAAATAATTTGAATATATGATAAATACACAATGAAGAGGATAATTAAGTTATTTTTACTGTGAGGACAACTTTGGCAAGTCCCTTTATGACTTCACCTTTAAGTTAAAATGGATCTCATCTGTTTCATGAAGTAAAGTATGCACATTGCCACAGGTATGCCTAATCCAAATCCTCTAAAGTCAGTGGAAAGATTCTCATTGATTCCCATGAGCTTTGGATCAGGCCTCAGCTGATGAAGCAGAGACTGAATGCATATGAACATTGCAGTAACAGAATTTGCAAAAACACATGAAGAAAGAATCAATCCTTCAATGGGCCTTCTTTCTTCTCCAGCATCCTTGTAATTAAAGATGCCAAGCTCTGGAGAAAGTGAGTTTATTAGCAGGCTGTTATTCCTGAACACTTAGTGGGCTGTGTATGTATTAAATCATTCAATTCAGGAATCTCAGGAGGGGCAGAAAAATAATTTACTGTTTATGATTTTCCTCTGGAGAATAGGGCACCTCACAAAATATTTTATGTTTGCAGTAAGTGGTGTGTGTGTGTGCGTGTGTGTGTGTGTGTGTGTGTGTGTGTGCAAGAATGAGATTCTTCATGTTTGTGATGAATGACTAGGGAGGAAGTAAGATCATCCTAGAATTTTAACATTTAAAACCAAATGTTTCAAGGTGAAACATGAGAAAAGCTGTCAATAAGAATTAGCAGGAGCCAGCGCTTGAGATGGTGTAGGTATTTTGTCAGTCTTCAAGAATACCTCATTTCACACTGAAGACATTGCCTTTCCAGAGTTTAAGTTGCCTTTACTTTTTAAGCAATGTCTGGTCTCACTCACCCTTTTAATATTATGGAGTGGTTCAATATTTCATACATGACAAGCACAAGGAAAGAGCGTTATTATCATTCTCCCTGGTAACATGGTGTAACATGAATTAATCTAAGAAGGGAAATATTCATCCATTTCATGAGGATGCCTGAAACATTTGCTGCCAAAATTCCACGGCTGTCATTTATTACTGACACTGAGAACATTTTTTACGCACTCATGAAAGAGCTTTCCAAAAGCCACTGAAGTTTATGAATTGCTTGCAAATTTACAGCTGATAAAAGTGGAATTTTCAATACCTTGCTGGACTCATGTTGCTAAGCTCTGTGTTTTTGGAGCTAACTTTCCTTACAGTGAAATTGCCTTACATGGCAATTTAGATTTACCCACAATGGTTTACATGGTCAGAGATGTTTTACTGGTTGTGTTATTACAGTGGATGGCATAGTGTGTGTGTGTGTGTGTGAGTGTGTGTGTGTGTGTGTGTTCTGCTGGTAAGGAAAGACTTCAGAACAGGCACTGGGGGAGAAAGCCCTCTGAAATTTAGCAGTGTTTCTAAATTCCTAATGCATAAAGAAAAGATAGATACACTGTGTGACTTTAATACGATCTCCATATAGAGTTTAAAGTTCTGGGGGTCAGATTGTACCTGGGCACATCTACATGAGATGCTTTACTGTGAAGTACTGTAGTTTACTGCGAAGTAAGCATGTCTGTCTACACATGCACATAGTTACTATGCAGTAAACCTCGCTAATTGTAGATAAATTTGCTACCTGCAAATGCAAGTAGCAAATTTACTCGTGCTTAGAAATGGTGCAGTAGTGTTTGTGTAGATGCCTATATACTTCCAGTGAGCCAGCCACTAGGCAGCTGGAAACTGCTCCCTGCCCCCAGGAGCTGCCTGGTGCCAGGGTGGGCTCTACCAAGAGAGCCCAGGCAGGGACTATTTCCCCCTGCCCTGGCAGCAAGGAGCTGTAAGCCCCCCATTCCAAGATTGGGATTGGGGAGCGGAAGATGGGAGAATGTTGTCTCCCAGTGCCAGCTCCAATGTCATAGTGATTGGGCGGAGAGATCCTTAGAGATAAGGGTCTCCCAGCCTGAGCCTCACAACTGCAGAATTTGGGCTGGGAAATAAAGATCTCACAGTGCTGGGCCCATGACTGCAGAGCTGGCACTGGGAGATAAGGGTCTCCCAGCCTGAGCCCAGTAACTGCAGAGCTGGCACTGGGAGCACTTCGATAGTGGGGGCTGGGGAACCTGTTCCCTACCCAGCTGTGCACTCATGGAGTTGAACAGAGAACAAGCTCCCAAGCCTGTTCCCCACACAACTCTGCACTCATGGAGCTGAGCGGGGAATGGGCTCTTCAGCCTCCACCCTGGGATCATGGAACAGGGCCTGATCTGGGACAGATCCAAGCTCTGTGCCCCAATCAGGTGATCAAGGCATGGGACTTGGAACGAGCTAAAAGGGTTGGGTAGGTCCCAGGCCCCTGCCCTGATCTGCTCGTGGGGCAGCTAGCAGCAAGCTAGCTGTTAGCTGCCCCATGGGTGGATGGGTCAAGAGACTGGGACCTGCCCCTCCCCTGCAGCTCTTTCCAAGTCCCTTGTCCCTGATCAGGGAACTGGGGCCAGGAGCTCCCTGCTGCCGGGGTAGGGGGACATTGTCTCTGCCCCAGCAGCAGGCAGCTCCCCGGGGGCAGGATGCAATGTCCCAGCCCTGGTCAGAAGACATTGTCTCCTAGCCTGGTGCTCCCTGCCACCCCTTGAACCAGCATCCAGGGGGATCCTAGATCCCCCTGCAGAGCACCAGAAAGCAGGAGCAGTTTGCTGCCTTTAGCAGCAAATCTAGTCCCATCTCCCTGCATGTGTAGACACCTGTCCAGGACCATTTACTCACGAGTAATTGACTCATGAGTACACTTATTCTGGATAAAATGCATGTGTAGATGCACCCACTGCCATATTTACAGCAACATTTAACCCTGCAATACAGCAAGTAAGGTTTCTGAGCCCCTTCTCACTAAAATACTTGAAAAAAGAAGACAGTCTTTGTTGTCCACCATGCCATAGATGCAAGCCCACAGAAGGGCAGTTGCTAGAGTTAAGCAGTCACAACTTGGCTCTATTGTATATATAGAAAATACATTTCTTCAAGATCATCTATTCTGAACCTGGGTTAGAATTTGTCCTTCTAAAAATCTATAAGTGCCTAGTCACAGCTTAAGTAATGTGGCCAACATTTTCAAAGGGGTCTAAGTGGTTTAAGGTATCAGGGTTATAAAGGGGGTACTTTCAACACACACTTTGGCTACAAAAACACTTTTTATTGGACTTACTAATGCATTTTAGTTTATTGATTAAATGCTCTTGATTAACAATCCAAAAAGATACAGGCCTACTTTAATCCACAGAACAAAACAGAAGCTTTCCACATTGCTCCACCAGTATGCTTCAGCCTGACAAGAGGTTAAAGGTGGGATAGTTCATTTTCCATAACAAAATTATTTCTTGGACTCTGTTTTAAGACCGTTAACAATGGCATCACTTGCCACCAGCTATAGTAAGTCTAGCAACGTATACATTCCTTTCAGGAACTAGGATAAGACCTGGGTTTACATTTTAAAAAAATATATTAGAATGACAATGTTCAGATTACTAACCTGGGATTGATTTGATTTCTGTAACCTGGAACTGAAAAGATGAATATTTTATTCAGTGTCCTATGCAACATAGAAAGATGCACATAAACCTTAATGAAAGTAGTATATAAATACCTGAAGACAAAAGGTGGCTTGGAAGACTTGAGTTAATTTATGCAGTCATGATTCAAATCGTCAGTCCAGGGAACTTTTTCTATTTTCAACATATCATACATCTGTACTTGTAAAACATATGGAGAGGATCAAAGTCACAAGGATGTAAAAAGCATATCTCCTTGTGTGTTTTTTAATTCTAATGTATAAGGACTGGAAAAGGGCCAAAAGGGCCAATGTGGTCCCCATTTTCAAGAAGGGGAGGAAGGCGGACCCAGGCAACTATAGGCCGGTTAGTCTCACCTCCATCCTTGGCAAAGTCTTTGAAAAAATTATCAAGGCTCACATTTGCAAGAGCCCGGCAGGACAAATAATGCTGAGGGGAAACCAGCACGGGTTCGTAGCAGGCAGATCGTGCCTGACTAATCTAGTCTCTTTTTATGACCAGGTTACAAAACGCCTGGACGCAGGAGTAGGGGGGGATGTCGTATACTTAGACTTCAGGAAGGCCTTCGATACGATATCCCACCCCATACTGGTGAACAAGTTAAGAGGCTGTGACTTGGATGACTACACAGTCCGGTGGGGGGAGAATTGGCTAGAGGGTCGCACCCAGAGAGTCGTAGTGGATGGGTCAGTATCGACCTGGAAGAGGGGGGGCAGTGGAGTCCCACAGGGTTTGGTCCTTGGACCTTGGACCGATACTCTTCAATGTCTTCATCAGCGACTTGGACGAGGGAGTGAAGTATACTCTGTCCAAGTTTGCGGATGACACAAAACTGTGGGGAGAAGTGGACACACCAGAGGGCAGGGAACAACTACAAGCAGACCTGGACAGGTTGGACAAATGGGCAGAAAACAACAGAATGCAATTCAACAAGGAGAAATGCAAAGTGCTGCACCTAGGGAGGAAAAATGTCCAGCACACCTACTGCCTAGGGAATGACCTGCCTTGTGCAACGGAAGAGGAAAGGGATCTCGGAGTCCTAGTGGACTCCAAGATGAACATGAGTCGGCAGTGTGACGAAGCCATCAGAAAAGCTAATGGCACTTTATCGTGCATCAGCAGATGCATGACGAACAGATTGAAGGAGGTGATACTTCCCCTCTATCAGGCACTGGTCAGACTGCAGTTGGAGTACTGCGTGCAATTCTGGGCACCGCACTTCAAGAGAGATGTGGATAACCTGGAGAGGGTCCAGAGAAGGGCCACTCGTATGGTTAAGGGCTTGCAGGCCAAGCCCCACGAGGAGAGACTAGAGAACCTGGACCTTTTCAGCCTCCGCAACAGAAGGGTGAGAGGCGACCTTGTGGCTGCCT